ATATGATACAGTAGCTTTATAGGGCTAACATGCATCATCTCTGTAAAGATACAGAATTTGTGATGTTAGTGTTGTCAGTAGAAATGAGTTCAGCTCTAATGAGAGTGTGTGTGTGTGTCCATCAGAACGCTGAGTCCGTGGAGGTGGACAGTATTCCTCTTCCAGACATGCCTCACGCTCCATCCAGCATCCTCATCCAGGACATTCCCCTTCCTGGAGCTCAGCCACCCTCCATCCTGAAGAAGAGCTCCGCACTTGGGTCAGAACACACACACTCACACTCTCTACAAACACACACTCACTCACTCACACACACACACACACACACACACACTCTATAAACACACTCACACACACACATGTCCGTCTCATGGCTGATCTCTCAACAGCTCTACTGGAGATCATTAATGAGAGTTTGCTGTAGTATATGAAGCAGCGATTCGTTAACGCACATCCTCTTTCTCTTTAAAGAGAAATCTCTATTTAATTTCTGACAGGAATGAAACGAGACTGAGAGTATAATGCACTGTACTGTTGTTTAACATCATTCAGCTGTCCAAATGAATTCAGTCCGTTTCAGATTTCAGTTTATATGAACCCTAACCTGATTCACATATTCATTGACCTGCGCATGACATGTGTTCAGTGTGTCAGTCGCTGTGTTTGTTCAGAGAACCGTAGCTCAGGAGAGACTGTCAATGTGTGTCCACTCGTGTGTTTCAGGAAGGGCTCCGCGCTGTCAGAGAGACTGTCAATGTGTGTCCACTCGTGTGTTTCAGGAAGGGCTCAGCGCTGTCAGCGGCCGCTCTAGCTGGAGTTCCTCGCCTGCCGCCGGGACGCAAACCCCCGGGACCCCCGCCGGGGCCGGCTCCGCCACAGGTCCTGCAGCTGTACGCTAACACTCGACGCACAGGTACACTTACACCCGCAGATACTGCAGCTGTACGCTAACAGAAACACTGTTCCAGTTTTCCATCTGGTTTTTTGATTTTACGTTGTTTCAAAAACAACATCCTGCTGTGTTTCCTGTCAGAGGGCGGCGGTTCAGACTCTGAGATGATGGACACCGGAGGGAGAGACAGCGACAGCGATGCAGATGACGACAGCGACTCGCAGGACGACAGCGGCGCAGAGAGAGACGACGCAGATGCTGACGCCAGAATGACATCAGATCGCCATGACGACAGAGACGAGGATAAACACACAGGTGCGTCGTCAGAGTAACATCGAGTACTTTCACTACGATGACTTCCCACGCTCTTACGTTACGTTTGCGCACCATGTGAGCTGCATAATGATAATGCAGCATTCCACTCGCAAACAATCGTAATTTGAAAAACGTGCGACTGGTATAACGATGAGACGGTATTTTCACGTTTTCTGAAGGCAATGCTTCAGCAGACTGGAGGTCAGGTAACGCAGCTGTAGGAATGATGGTTTGACGTGTTTGTTTTCTTCGCTCAGGTCGCAGCGTGCGATTCGCTGACATGCCGCCGCCCAAAGAGAAGAGGACGAGGAGGGTGATGAAGACGAAGAGCATCACACCACTGCAGGCCATGATGCTCCGGATGGCAGGTGTGTGATCTCATCATCATGATACCAGACCAAGTCAAGTCACCTTTAGCGCTTTATACAATACAGATTGTGCCAAAGCAGCTTTAGATGTTGACGTGTGTGTGTGTGTGTGTGCAGGTCAGTCTATCCCGGAGGAGGATGATGAGGAGGAGGAGGAGGATGATGAAGAGGAGTACACAGACTCTGAGGAGTCGGATGCTGAGGATCAGGTCTCCACTGAAGCCACTCAATCATTGGTCAATCCTAGACTTCCTGTTCCGTCTGCACCAATGGCAGTGCAGCAGCCTCCTCCACACATGCAGGCTCCACCAATCACAGGGCCTCCTCCTTTAGGACCGCCTCCTGCTCCCCCAGTGAGGCCGCCGGGACCGCCGTCAGGCCCGCCCCCAGGACCGCCTCCCGGTGCGTCATTCATTCATCATCATCATCGTTATCATACAGATGATGCTGAAGAGCAGCAAACATACTGGTGTCGTTAGTTAAGCACAAGATATTTCACTGAAAGTGATTCTGTGCTGAAATACTCAGTGATGTTGTTTGATCGTCTGTGGAGTCATGTGATGTGTTTGGCGGTTGTTTTGGTTCAGAAGTTGAGTGGATTGTGGTGAGATGTGTGCTGATGCTGGGTTTTGTCACACACAGGTGCTCCTCCGTTCCTGAGGCCCCCTGGACTCCCCGTGGCCCTCAGGGGCCCCATACCACGCATGCTGCCTCCGGGGCCCCCGCCGGGACGCCCGCCCGGACCCCCG